CCGCTACGGCACGAGAAGTGCAAAAACGCATAATCGCACTGGCCCGCCTGATGCGTCCCAGCCTGGGTTATGCGTTTTTTGCAGCTGTGCAATGTGCAAAACGCATTTTGACGAGAGGCTATCTTGTGTGTGTGTGTGTGTGTGTGTGTGTGTGTGTATGTGTATGTGTGCGATGGGCCTCTGTACCGATTTTTCATCTCGAGACTTACAAAAGCTACAGAGCTGAAACTTTGGGAACTTAATCTACATGCATGTACGGGCGCAGTCCCCAAAATGGGCGGTCTTGCCTGCGTGGTACCCACATACGGGCCCGTGAAAGTTTTCTGCGGGTAAACCGCTAATTGGCGAATCAGAAAAGCTAGAAGGCTGAAATTTTGAGGGTTTGTTCCCCGTCCATGTAAGTCTTCATGAGCTTCAAACCCATCCCTCGGATATGCGTGGTACTCACATACGGGCCCGCCAAAATTTTCTTCGGGCAAGTCGCTAACTCGAGAATTTGAAAAGCTAGAAAGCTACAATTTTAAGAGGATATTCCCCGTCCAACTAAGTCTCATGAGCCCAAACTCAGACTCCGGGTATGCGTGGTACCCATCTCGTGAAAGTTTTTTTAGGTAGTTTGATAGCTCGGGAACCTGAGAAGCTAGAAGACTGGAATTTTGAAAGAATTTCAAACTGGCGGCCAGTTTGAAATTCTTTTAGCTAGAAGCATCTGTCGGAAAAAACAGTGCCGATAACAACAAAAAAAAAAAACGCATCTTCGCACGGACAGCCCGTGCGTTGGCCAATTATTTGATTTTGACTTTATTCCTACGCCCAGGCTTGCTTTAATTTACTTTTTTTCGCAGTGCTTCGTTTTCTCTTTTCTCATTACTGCTATCTGCAATTTCTGCCTCGAGCTCCTGATTTGTGCCCTTGTTCTCCTTTTTTCCTCTGTCCTGAAATCCTTCCTGTAAAGCAACATCTGAGCTTCTTTCCACCCTCACTGTAAGAGCACCCTGGGAGCAAGCAATACTTCAGCTATTTTTTTACCTCGGGCATTTGTGTGAAAAACCGTGAGTACATTCTCCTTCTTTGCACCTATCACCCCTCCTCTTTTCCATGTATGGTCCAGGCAACCGTCAAACGATTTATGCCACGTAGCCATTTAGTGCGCCTACCCCTTCGCCTCTCTCGAATCCCCGTGTGCAATACCCCGCGTACACCACCTCCTCACAGCCACCCCAACCTCCTCCCCGTGTCTCGAACCGCACACCCAAAAAAGTGCTCATGCATTGCCAACCTCCGCCCCTTTACCTTCTGCAGTCCATCCCCTTTCGTGCTCTTTTCGTA